GATGGAAGGAACGTCAGTCTTCCAAATAGTTTGATTTGGCCATAGCTAATTCAGACTAGTTAAATCAACTCAGACCCATTAATAGATTTCTCATTATATACATAAACTTGACATTTGCTAGCCCTTGTAGTTAAAAAATATATGTGTATGTTCTCAATGGTCACCTTATTTATGTGTGAAATAGGTATAATAATATAACAGTTTTTATTTGGTCATTTAAAAAGAAGAGGTCTAGGACAAAGCCTTTAATTTTTAAGCAAAATTTTAAACTTCTTAGGAGTTAGACTTGATTTATGCTGTTTGTTGCTGTGGTCATCTCCACTCCCACCTCTCTGCCTACATAGTGCCTTTCATCATGTTGAAGAAATTAGTACCAGTTTCTCCCCACTTGAAAATGAAAATACTTTACTTTTATATTCAGTTTTGGCCTCTTTCCCTGGTTAACAGAGTCCTGAAGACAAGTGAATGTATGCTAGGAGACATTTAATAACAGGCTATACTATGGACATAAATTTGGCCACATGAAGTAAAGTTCATTTCATAGCAGTAGGAGGGACCATCCAGAATTCAAGAATGCATTTTCTTGTCTTCAGGAGTGTCACACCTAAATGAGAACTCTTGGGTGAGATTTTTCAATTATTATTTTGTATAAACTTGCATATACTTATTGATGTTTTAACTATTAGCATTAGAATTTATAGAGATTTAAAATTTTTCTTTCTTTTTTTGTTTTTTCTTTTTTAACTCCAGGTTACGGAAAAACCTAAAATCTCTAATCATTGTACATCCTTCTTGGTTTATCAGAACACTTCTGGCTGTTACAAGACCATTTATTAGGTAATTTTCAAGAGCTATTGACCTTAAAAAATAAAAATTCCTTGTATAAATTGTTTGTTAGTTCAGCTGGTCAGAAATATTGAGGTAATTATTTTTATTTTCTTCCATAGCTCGAAATTCAGCCAAAAAATTAGATACGTCTTTAATTTGGCAGAACTAGCAGAACTTGTCCCCATGGAATATGTTGGCATACCAGAATGCATAAAACAGTATGTTTTGTTTATTTCTTTAATTATATTGTATCTTTATATTTTTTTGTTAAAGAGGTAATATTTTTCAATACTTATTTTTTTCTTATAGATATTTTGTAACTGCTTTTTTTTTTTTTTTATAACAAAATAAAAGAGAAAAAAGCCATTTTCCCACACCTTCTCCATAAGTCACCATTTTCTTCAGACTGTCAGCTGAAGAACGAGGAAAAATGATTTCTGGTTTTGATTCATTTTATATTTTTAAAGACTTGTTAAAATCTAAGATTTGATTTCCTGATTGGTCAGTACTAAAAAACATCATTCTCCAAACTTGAACATGTTATTCTTCAAATTTGAGAAAACTCATTATGGCATCAAATAATCGTATTTCTAGATAAATAAAATATTACTTAAAGCAGCCTAACCTTAATATTTTCCAGTGACTGGAATTTGTTCTGTTTACCAAATTCACTTAATTCCATCTAGCTTTTGAAAGGACTTGGTAGAAGGCTGTTAACATAAATATTTGAGCATCACAATGCTATTATGTAGAAAAGTTTCTTTATTCTGTTAATCTGAGGTTTTAATCTGTTTAATGTGTCAAAGCCAGATTTATTAAGTTAATTTTTACTTTATACATCATGTATTAAGTATTCTTGGTTTTGCCTGCAAACTTATAACTTTATTTTTAGTGCCTCTTTTCAAGTTTTTGTTCATCTTCATAACATGTATATTTACTGAAATAACTCTTCCCTACCAAGGTATGAAGAAGAAAAGTTAAAAAAGAAACAAAAAAGGTATATGCACACCTTGACTGGGTTGCATCTAGACTAGTCCATTTGCATTGCACAGACTAACTCTTCCTAATTGATTGGTTAGCTTCTAGACAAAGATAATTGCATTTGTAAATATAAGTATACCCCAGCATCCAAGTACAGGGTGAATCCAAAGTTCCTGATGCTGAATATGACTTGGATTCACCCTGTTTTAACACCATATATAATGCCAGTTAAGAGTTAAAGGCCACAGTCCTTCCTCTTTCCATTTTGGTCTAAATACTGATGGTAAAACCAGAGAAATTACTAATACTATTGAAGCATCAAATACTTTTAAGACTTTAGCTGTTTTACCATTTCCTTTAAATCTCTAACTTTGGCTTTTGAAATACTTATGCAGACTTTTTTAAGGAATTAATTTATTTTCCTGGGGTTGATGATTATATTTGCAATGCATATATTCTTTGGCTAACCAACATTGATTTCCTTGTACGCTTAAATTAAATGGCCTGCTAACCAGTCAAATTATACATGTGATAAAATACCTAAAAGTTCAATATCCATTTAACAGTTAAACACTCCGCTTTCCCTTTTAAATTTAATTTTGAACACTTCTGCTTTGAGCATAACAAACTATTACCTATTAATATCTTGACATAGACGATGAAAGGCAAGGATATAAAATACTTTATTTTATATAGTAATCTAGAAAAATGTAGGATTTGGATCTAATTTGTCGATAGATTTTTTAAAATACTGACAAGTTAGCAAAACATAGTTTAATACAGTCTTCCTTTTGTAACACTTATGGTGAGATATGTAGTTATCTTTTTGACCATTCTAAGAAACCAACTGTATGTAACTGGAACATTCTTAACACATTTTGCTTCTGTTGATGAATGAGAATTCAGTTGGCCACATGACCAGAATCATAGCTTTACACTTCTATATAACACTGTATAGTTTAATCATCACTTTAACATAGAGATGTAGACAATGATTTCAGATTATACTGATTTCTCATTCCTTTCTAGGCATCGTTGTGCATTTGCCAGATAGGTGGCTGAAATTAAAAATATAATCTGTAATTATAGAATATTTTGAAGCCACCTGCTTCAAAAGCCACCTGCTTTCCATTTCAAAATCAATTGCCTTTGTGATGAAATATACTGTATTATTCCTTTTTAGAAAGTTCTTAGTATTTAGTCAACTGTCAAGTAATTTAAGCATCAGGGAAAAAAATGGAACTCGTACTTTTTATTTATAAGTATTGCTTGAAACCCATCACTACTATTTTATCTTTTTAATTTTTTTTTTAACTTTTGTCTATTTAACCTTAAATGAGCATTTTTAGTTTTTGTAGTTTCTTTAGCCTTAAAAAATTATTCTTGTCCCCGTACCAGGCAGCTGCCAAAAAAATTTACAATCCTTCTCATTTTGAAAATGATAAAATTTAATTTTTTAAATTAAATAGAGAGGCATATTTTTAAAACCAAACCTTACTGAGGTAAGGTGTGGGGAAGCTTACTTAAGGTGACATCTCCATGATAAGTACTGGTGCTAAGAAGGGTGCAAAACTATTAGTATTGAAGTAAAATAGACTTAAGTGTTTCAGATGTTTCTTTCAAGCAACGCAGTGCAAGTGTGGCCAGGCAGATATCAATTGTTAAAATGTTTCAACAGAGTTTAAAAGTAAAGTAATTATGAAATTAGTTCAGAAGGATATTTCAGGTGTTGAAAAGATTGGATATATATTACATGCTTTATCAGGAACATATGCCTTTCAAATTTTTGGTACCAATACAAACAGTATTTTAAAGTGTTGTTAATCTGGCTTTTACCAAAGGCCAGGACTTATAGGTCTATTCACTAATGTTCAGGTGATCATAGTAATGGGTGATGATGACCACAGTAATGGAACAGGTGTGAAAAGTATATTTCTTTATCATACCAGATTGTTTTAAATGTCTCCACATCAGTTATTCAAACTATTACAAATATAATAGACTGTCGTACATTAGCTTTGAAAACTTTTCTATAATGTATTGTATGGTAATTATGTCATTCTTCTAATCCCCAGTTGCCTAAATTTTGATGTGACCTCTGTTCAACCAACCACTAATCCAGAGATATTTTTAAGGTCTATTTAGATATTTCTGAATGTTAATTCTGATGGCTTCTTGGTATCAAAATAAATGAAAGGCATTCACAGACTAAGTGTACCAATAAATTTTGGAGTACTGTTATGATTTCTGTAAATATGCATTTTTATTACTGGATTTAAAAATATTAATTGATCAATTGGTGGCATTAGTGGTACTTTCATATTTCAGTTAACAAAAATCATTTTTGAGGGAGTTGTTTTTCCTGCCAGTCTCTTACCGTTGGGTCCCTGCTGCAGCCATGCCACAAGTGAACACTTTAATATGCCTGTTTTAATTTGAACTTTTAAGAAAATGTATTTGCATTTGTATGTCAAGTATGTTATAATTCTTTAAAGAAAAAATAGTCACATTTCTTGCCAGTGTCCGCCTGCCTTTAAAAATTATCTTATCTTTTCGGGTTGGGGACATAATGTTTGGCAACTTTTTTACTATGTCTGCTTCTTTGCAAAGCTTTGTTTTTAACAGAATAATATTCTTTGCTAAAAGTAGTTATTAATTTTAGAAAGAAAATTGTTCAGTTGCTGATGTTTTATTATCCATATTTTTTATTAAACAGAGTTGATCAAGAGCTTAATGGAAAACAAGATGAACCGAAAAGCGAACAGTAAGTTTGGCATCTAGTCCGAACAAGACTGAAGAATATGCTGATGAAGCAATGCTCTTTTTTGCATTTATAATGCACTTACTGGCCTATATTTTTATGTTACAAAATTGACTTGACTCTTTCTTAATGGATTTTTGTACAAGGGACTGTTCACTGCTGTATTGGTTTGCAGATCTCTTGAATTTAGCTCTTTAATTGCTAACCATATCATAATCATTTTATATTTTATATTGCTAAATAGCAGAGAACCACACTTTATATAAAGCATTTTTTGCATTTGTTTATTGAATGATGCATCTTCTTCAGTAAAATATTTATAAGCATAGATGGTAAAGGAAAAGAAATAATATATATTTTTATGTTTTTGAGCAATATTTTTTAATGTGTACCTGTCTTGTGGAAGAATGTGCAGGTAACTGAGACCATGATTTTGTAAAGTGCATGTTAGAATTTTTGTTTTTGTAAATGGTTAAATACATTTCCTGGGTAACTTAGAAAATTAAGTTGCTCATAAAGCGAGGAACAGTTACGTTAAACTGATTCTCATGAATACCCAAAGATCATGTACATAATCTAAGTAGATTAGTACTATCCCAAGTTTTTTCCTCTCTTTAACATTTATTGTTCCTTAATTCAGAAGCACAAATGGAAGTGCATTGCACAGTTTTTCCTTTTTAAACTTAAAGACAAGTCAAAAAGCCATTTTTAGAACTAGAGAATTTAAAAGGCGAGGAATTAGGGTTTGTATATATATATATGGATGGATCATTTTATCTTCTGGCCCGAAGTCAGAACTTTATAAAAATCTTGGATTTGTTCACTAATGTGAAATAAGCTGTGTGTCCAGGGTATTGGTCCCCTGAATGTGTGAGTGCTATGTATTATTACAGAGAATGTGATGAGTTATTCACTGTCATGACTTTTTCTGTAAAAAACAGGCTGCTTTTTAAACCGCTCTCACTGTGGGCACTTTACCAAAATACTTCCATAGTAGTTTGACCTAGTCCAATATGATGTGTTTTCAAGTTTCTGTTGAGTCCTGTTTGACAATATTGTAAATTAGGTTAATTTTTGTAAGTCTTACAGCATCATTATATAGTGCTGTTTTGGATGACACATTTGATGTAAGTATATAAACTTGTTTCATTTGGTCAGTTTCTTTACACTGAAATAAATTGTACTTAAGCCTCCAAACAGAGCTTAATTATCCACAAAATCATTCTAAAACAGCAGATTATAATGTGTCATACTTGATTGACTCATATACATTTACTAAACTTAATACCCTTCAGATTTGAAGTTCACATTATTCTCCAGCCCTTCCTGTAAGGTATTTTACAAAAGAGTAGTCTAGAGTAGCAAAATTGAAGTGGATGTGAACTTTTAAGATGTATTCTATCCTAGATTGAACATACCCATGGCGTTTACCATTGCTATTTTTTACTGTAAAGTTTCTGTTACAAAAGGGAATTTTCCTTTACTTTTTGTCCTTCTCAGTCATAAATTTGGTGTACTAACGTAAATACATTAGAGGAGACGCTGGAGAATTATCAGAATGAGACATTCCTCAGCAGCCTCCTGACATTTAACTTGGATCCAGCAGTTTTAGGCAGATCCTGAACTAATATCATTATAGTGAACTTAGCCAAAAGCATTATTACTTGCTCACATCTTAGAAACACTGTGTTAAAGATGCAAACTAACAATAACAACTTAGGCATTCCTTCTGAATTTACTATATAGGGATTATGAATAAAAGATCATGTTGAATTTAATTGTGATTAGATCCTCTATTTGTAGAATATTTTAAGTAGTCTTTTATCTGTATGTCTTTATTTTGCTCAAAATGGGCTGAGCTTTTTAATAGGTGGTTTTTCCATCACATTAAGTTCTCGGTTCTTTGGTTTGAAAAATACAAAGAATGATTTCAACTCTTTGTTGACTTTTGCTTTCGCAGTCATTATTCCTAACTATAATTACAACTTGTTGCAAAAGTGATGTTTTTCTAAAATTTTTTTTAAATAGAAGTAGCCTATATTCTGTTAGAACATTAAAATTCAGAGGAAACAGTGATAACACTCGGGATATAACAAAAGGGATATACTGTAATCACTAGATTAAATGGATACCTGCTTTAACTTACACTTTAATGAAATCTGGTATAGAGACATGCCCACACTAAATGTTTCATAACTACAAGACTTAAGATCATAACTAGTAGGTTAGATGAAAAGCATGTAGGTTTGTTATTTGTAATTTATAGCTATGTAACATTTTCCCATATTACTCAATTTTAATTTTTCATTATTTTTTGAGGTAGAAGTACATAAAATTGTATTATTTTGTCTTTCTGTTCAAGTCATGGATCTAACTTAGCTGGTTTAATTTGATGCTTCTGTCATTATTTTTTGTTACACAAAAGTTTTTGTTACATTTTGAGTACCCCTTTTTAAAAGTCAAAAGTTTGGGGCCGGCCCGGTGGCGCACTGGATAGTGCGCCGCTTGAGAAGCGCGGCGGCGCTCCCGCCCGAGGGTTTGGATCCCACATACAGACCGGTTCCCGCTCACTGGCTGAGCGAGGCGCGGGAGCAACGCCGAGGGTTGCAATCCCGTTGCCGGTCCCCGGTCCGGTACAGGGGCAACACTGAGGGTTGCGATCCGTTGCCGGACACGGAAAAAGACAAAAGACAAAATAAATAAATAAATAAATAAAAGTCAAAAGTTTCTCATATGAAGTAATTTGATTCTGTGTTCTGCGTAATCATATTCCTAAGCCAGCCATCAAGGAAATACATTATGTTAACCCCACAGTTTAAGCTTAATAGTCTATAATTCAGAGGTGGGTATGAAGAAATACCATTCTAAATAAAGTCTAACAGGGTAGGTGGAATGATAAAACAAGGAAGAGAAAGAAAACTTTTATAAAGGGATAAAGACTTAGCTGTTATCTAAGATGCCACTGATTGTGTCCCTCTTGAGAGAAGTACTGTATAAGGCTGTTGGTACTGTTTCTTTTATGCAGCAGGAAAACCTGCAGGTTATACACAGAATATGTGAATAAGGAGACCCCGGATCAAAGGGTAGGCTGAATATACATATGATGAGAATTCATATTTTCCTCTGCTTTAATTCTCTCCGTATAAAGCAAGTTTGAACAGAGAGTTTTAGCAGTTACAGTGCTCAGATTAAAGTTTAGGACTGGGATATTTTTTCATATTTCATGCTGGGTAAACATTACGTTGTCTTCCAAATTGGGCATTACTGATAGAGACTTCTTTTAAATGACTTAATGGCTGTTTATGTGAGTGCTCAGAGAATTTGGAAACATGTTTGATTAAAGGATTTCTTCAGTTGATAAATTAGCATTAGGATATATCAGGTAAAACAGGCCAGTTTCCTGATTGAGGTTTGTAAGGTTGTATGCAAGGTGACAGTAGCTTCATCCTTCCTTTTCCCGTGTTTATGTGGAAAATTGTTAACATTGCTCAATCAGAAGGGATAAAAAAATAGGCAGAAAATAGTTTGCTACATCTTTCTATTTTGTTTTCATGCCTATTTTTTCCCCATCATGTATGGATGTTTGAGAAATGGACCACAAACAAATCTCAGAGGGGTGGGGTAAATAGAGGAATTAGTGTATTTCTGAGTTAGGCCAATTATGCTGTTAAAAGAGTTTATTTTATCATAGGGAATAGGAATTGTGTAGTTTGAGTTCCTGGGAGAACAAGTCTAGACCTTAGACTTGCATGGGAAGGCCAGCTGGTGAGGGAGGTGGGGTATTATCTACGCAGTGTTCTAAGCTATTACAAAAGAATTACCTTGGGAGCCCTTCGCCCCCTTCTCCCATTTCTGAGACTCTGCATGGATTTAGAATCAGGTCATTGGTGAGGCCCAGAAATATAACTTTCCTTTCAAGTTCTAAATGGTAATTGAAAATAAAGTAGTGTGTTGAACAGTAAGGAGTGACACTAAAATTTGAATAGAACAGTTTGTTGCCACTACATATAATAGATCTACTTAATTTCTTATGTTTTGAGAAATAAGTTAAAAATGCTATAAAAAAATTCTCTTAAAGCAATTAAATCAAGCATCAGATGGAAGTCAAGTGTTTAATGCTTTCAAATTAATAATGATCTTCAGCTGTTTGCTTCAGCTAGGTTGTGATTCTAAAGACATTCTGCAAGAGGTTAAAATATTTGCATTTTAAATTTTTATGCATTTTCACATTCAGTTTGGCTAAGGAGGAACTTGGGAAATAACACCAGCTACTCCACTGCAGTTGTATATGGACTTTCCAAAGTTTAATATTTCTTTAACTGTTCCTTAATTGTTTATTTACATAAACCTAGCTAAGTAAGTTGGTGGTGTTTGGAGCCACTGACTTGCATAGCCATTGGGGCACTGTTCACACAGAAGACAATTCAGCCAGATGCTAATGCACTTTGATACATATTTCAAAAATACATATTTTGTTATCACAGATTCACATGCTGTCATTTAGACAAAATTAATGTACTGTAATCATTTTACTACTATTAGGATGATGTTGCCTAGCCCAGTACTGTCATTTTACAGTGTGAAATTCAGTTCTGATGTCTGTGTGTGCAAGATGTTGATGGGGTCCCTGTAAGAAATACTAGGGTTGATCATGATTTACTAAGGAGATGTAATATTTTATTTTTTTCTGACCTGTTAGGAACACAATAACTTTGTGTCTTGATTTGTTGCACATATTTTAGCAACGTTAATGAATTTAAATAAATTAATTGGAAAGTTTGATTTTTGCCTCATTTTATCACATTTTCCATTATGCTACTAAAATTTTACATTGAATTATCTTGTAAGCCTTTCAAATAATTTCAGACCTTTATTTTTGTTTCTCTTTCTGTTGTCTGGGTGCTGCTTACTCTTCGAGGGGTGAAGAGTTCACCCAGCTTTGATTTGTAACATTATCCAAGTTATAATCAAACTTCATATTTCATAGTTTAGAATTTTTTTTCTAGAATTATTTTAATTAGCTTGGAATCTAAGGATGAAATTCTGAGTGGCTGAAAATGAAAACATGGCATAAATGAGAACCTGCTCGGAGGCTTCAGTTGGTGTTACTTGTTTTTGCATTTATTCCTTAATCACTATCCAGCTACTTAATGGCAAACTGCTGTATACATTACTGCTGCAGTTAATCCACAGTTAGGATACCACAGGTCGTGACACCTAGAGGAATTTGGGATTATGCAAACTTGAAATATACATTGAAGTATTTGTATTGCGTATTAGGCAAAAATTTTAAATACAGATTCTCCCAAATTAAAATTCTTCATGAATCACAAATTAAAAGCTTGCCGAGCTGAAATTAATTGCAGCCCTATTTTTGAATGGTAAAAGAGATATCCTGCTAGAATTCTTCAGAATTTATCTTCAACTTAGTACTGTAAGGTCTTAAAAGTATTACCCTGAACACACCCCAGGCATAAAATGTCAGTTACCTACATCTAGTAAATTGTGCATCTAACAGTGGAGAAGATTCGTCTCTAGAAATTATAATTCCTTTATAAACGCTTTAGGGAACCTCGGAAATAAATCACGCTCTAAGCCCGTCGTCCACCGTTTTGGGGTTTGAAGCTCCAGCTCCCCGCCCCTCCTCTCCGCAGCCTCGCCCTTCCCTAGCAAGGCTTGAGTGGCGTGCGCGGGCAGGGTAGGCGGGACTCCCGGCTCACCGGCGTGGCGTCACTTCCAGGTTCCCCGAGCACTTCCGGGTCGTCGGCCCAACTCTGCGGTTTCTGCGGCGGCTGAAGAGGTCGCTGGGGAAGTAAGCACCTCCTGCCGGGCTCCTGGCCGCGCCGCTTCTGTCCGCTTCGCGGCGGAAAGCGCCTACCCACAGGTAGTGGGTGAGCTGGGCGGGGTGAGGGAGGAAAGCGGGCCCTCGCTCCTTGCCGTCCCCCAGCGCCGCGGCTGCGGTTGTCTCTGAGGGCGACGTGGCGCGGGCCCTTCGCTGCCGGGGCCTGGGGCCGGCCGGCCCGAGACGGACTTCGCTGCTGGCAAGGCCCTCGGCCGGTACCGGCGAAGGGAGGCGAAGCGGCGGGGGACCGTTGCGTCCTGTCGCTGGAGGCTTGGTGTCCTCAGGGCGCCAGGTGGACGGACCTGGGGGAGGTCCTCAGCCCAGCGCCGTATTTTCAGCGAGGTGAATGACTTAAAGCATCAAGGTCAGCGACTTGTGGTTTTTGCCGAATTTCGGGGAGCTTTCCTTAAGCACATTGCTTGAGTGTCCATTGCTGTGCCTTGTCGCTTGTTCGAGGTCTGCCTTCCAGTTTGCTTCATGCGAACTCCAACAGAGCAACAAAGTTGAACTGGGCCTTTTAATTAAGAAGGACTGAGGGGTCGGCCCGGTGGCGCACTGGATAAGTGCGCCGTTTGGGAAGCGCGGCGGTGCTCCCGCCCGAGGGTTCGGATCCCACATACAGACCGGTTCCCGCTCACTGGCTGAGCGAGGCGCAGGAGCAACACCGAGGGTTGCAATCCCGTTGCCGGTCCCCGGTCCGGTACGGGGGCAACACTGAGGGTTGCGATCCGTTGCCGGACACGGAAAAAGACAAAAGACAAAAAAAAAAAGAAGGACTGAGACTAGTTACTTCCTAATTTGGAGCCTTATTAATTTTCTAAACTGGAAAATGAGGAGGGAGTACTAAATTTTTGTGGCTGACACCACATCTAAAAGATTTGAGCACTTCACGAGGAATTTTTAAGAATCTAATATCATTAATTGCGAGGAATTGTTACAAATGTTTATGTAACATAGCTATTTTCTAGATAACTCTTAGACTTTTGTCAAATGGAGCATTACACAAGATTCTGTACTTTGTAAAGTTTTTATCGCTACTGGGACCTCTCCTTGCTCTTTAACTCCTTCCTTCCGCCTCTCCCTCCCCCCCCTCCCCATGAGTGATGTTTTCCTTCATTCATTTTTTGAATAGATGTTTCTTTTGTCTCCTATCATGTGTCGGATACTGTTCTAGACGCCCTATTTATTTCAGTGAACAAAACTGACAAAAATTTATGCCCTCGTGGAGTTTACATTCTATTGGACGATGTAGAAAATAAATATAAGTGCATTATATGTGTTAGGAGGTGATGGTGTTATCAAAAAAAATTAAGCAAGATAAGGGATATGGGGAAGTTCCAGAGTGGAGGTGGGAATTGGTATTTTAAATATGGTGGCCAGTTTAGGCCTCATTGAGTAGGTATTGTTTGAGCAAAGATTTGAAGGACTTAAGAGAGTTAGACATTTGAAGGAGTTAAGAGAGTTAGTTTCCCCAGAATATCTGGGGAAGAGCATTCTAGGCAGAAAGAACAGCCACTACAAAGGCTCTCGTGCCTGTCATGTTTGAAGAATAGCAAGGAAGCCAGTGTGTCCAGAGAGGGATGAGCAAGTGGGGTGGGGTGGGGGGGGCGGTGAATAGTGGGTAAGGTTGAAGAGATAATGGGTATCTAGATTGTTGTAAGGACTGATGGAAACCCTGGGAGGTTTTGAGTAGAGAACATGTTCTAACCCATGTTTTAAAAGATCCCACTGACTCTGAGTTGTGATGAGAGTGTAGGGGGACAAGTGTAGAAGCAGGGAAATCAGTTAGGTGGCTGTTGCAAATGACGGTGATAGTGGCTCAGACCAAGGTGATAAAAGTGGAGATGTTGAGAAATGGTTAGTGTCTGAATGCATTTTGAAGGTAGAGCTTACAGGATTTGCTAGGAACTGGGTGTGGCGGGTGAATTGGAGGGAGGAGTGGAGGATGACTTTAAAAATTTTGGCTAAGCCTGTAGAAGTACGAGAGTACTTTTAAAAGTTCATGGAAAATTGAATCTAAAGATAAAATGGATCCTTCCATGAACTTTTTGAAGACTCCTCATATCGAGTTATTTCCACTGAGATGGGAAAGGCAAGTAGAGATGCTGCAGCTAGATCTAGGAGTGAGAAGTTCTGTGCCAGTATATGAATTTGGCAGTTGTCAGCAGTGATATTTAAAGCCATGAGACTGTATTGTCACTAAGGAATGGGTGTAGACAGAAAGCAGCAGAAGACCAAGGACCACGTCTTGAGACATTAAGAGTTCAGGGAGAAGAGTATCAACCAACAAATGACATTAAGAAGGGTGAACCAGGGAGCTAAGGGGACAACCCCAAAACTGTGGTGTCCCAGAAGCCAAGCAAAGATCCTTTAACACAGAGGAGGGAGTAATCAGCTGTGTCAAATGTTCTAGTCTGGTGGGGATTGGCTTTAGCAATGCCATTGGTGACCTTCACCATCTGTTTCATTAGAGTGTGGAAGGCAAAAGCCTATTAGGAGAGAGTTTAAGAGAAAATGAGAAGAAAAGGAATGGGAGACAGTGAATACACATAGCTCTATGGAGTTTTACTGCAAAGGGCAACAGAGAAATAGAGTGTGGTTGGCAAGGAAAGTGAGTTAAGGCTTTTTTTTTTTTTTAAGATGGAAGAAGTCCTGTCTGCCGATAGGAATGATCTGTAAAGAGGGGACATTTGATGGTGAGGAAGAAGGGGAAAATGAATTGTTAGAAAGCAAGAAAGCTATCCTAGTTTACTAGAGGGAATAGGACCTGATACAAAAGTAGAAGTATTGGATTTATATCAAAGCATGTATAGTTCAACTATAGTGACAGAGAGGCAGAGTATATGTGTGTAGATATTTCTTGGTGGTTAGATGTGGTTGTGAGAGTCTGGAAGGTTTTTTTGCTTCAGTTTCCTCAGTAAGATAGAAAACTTTGTGTCATACTTAGACACATTTCTAATAGTTGGTATTAGCACCCAGTTATTTATTCACTCAACAAATACTTATTGAATATATACTACACACATTTTTTCTAGGTGGTAAATACACGAGTGGTCTTCAGAAAGTTCATGGAAGAATTCATATCTTTTAAAGTATCCTTGTATAGCTGAGCAAAAGTATCGACCTTCGTGGATCATCTATTTTAGTAGGTGGAAACAGAATAAGAATATGTATGTCATCTTTAGCTATTGGTATGAATGAAAATAAGTGTAAGGGGGGAGGGAGTACTTCTTTTTTATAGGTTGATCACAGAAGGCCTTTCTCATGAGGTGATGTCTGAGCACAGAGCTGGATAAAATGAAGGAGTAAACTATACTGTATCTGGGAAGAACATTCGCAGCAAAAACAATAGCCAGGGCAAAGGCCCTCAAGCAAGAATGAGCTTTCCTCCTTTGCTAGCTAAAGTCTAGCTTGAAAAAAATCAGGAAGCTTTTCTGAGCCAAGTCACTTAGTCTACAGGCAGTCTCCATAGTATTTTGTGTATATCTCTATCACAGCTCTTATTTTATACTGAATCTAACTTTTTTTGTATGTCTGTTACCCTCTCACGAGTATTCATTTTTATGATTTGGAATATATCTTTAGTCATCTTCCTTTCCCTGGTACCTATCACAGTGCTATCCTCTTGGCAGGCACTCTGTAAATATTGAATTTTAAGAAAACAGGGAAGTAAAGGTGTGGGTATGCAAATGTGAGCAGAATATTGTGTTTATCAGTGATTTAATAGTAAGTAAAAAGGATGGTATATGGAAAATTCTAGACTAAGAAAGAAATGACTTTTGAAAGAAATAAAGATATATAAATATAACATTTACACTGTATAAAAATGTGGGTATGCAAATGTGAGCAGAATATTGTGTTTATCAGTGATTTAATAGTAAGTAAAAAGGATGGTATATGGAAAATTCTAGACTAAGTCAGAAAGAAATGACTTTTGAAAGAAATAAAGATATATAAATATAACATTTACACTGTATAAAAATGTAAATGCCTATGTCAAAATCACAGGAAAAAATAACTAGAAAAGTGATTTTTAACTATTCCTTGTGATTCTAAAATTACCATATAGTAATTTGCAATTACTAAAAGTTCTAATAGTTCTATATTAGAATATATGAAATAGACAATATTACATACATAATTTATAATGTTACAGAATGTTCTTTTTTTTTAACAGTTTTCTATTAAATTTTTAGGACATCAATGCAAGCCTGAATAAGAAAAAGAATTTCTTCCTCCTAAGCCATGGCATATCAGTTATACAGAAATACCACTTTGGGAAACAGTCTTCAGGAGAGCCTGGATGAGCTCATACAGGTGGGAGACTGAAAATCAAATATTTTTACTTAGATAGGTCTAAAATAATTCTTGTCATATCCCCTATCCCAGGCCAAGAGATATGAGGTAAAACAGACTATTTGATCCAGCAAGTCAGTATCACTGACTGATGAATAACCTCAAATTACTGTTTATTACACTATCCTGACAACAAGACATGAAATATGATGATTAAATAATATAGTTCAGTATATCTCAATATTTAAAAATTTCTGTTAAACATAAAAATTGAGATTGTTGGTTTTCCCCTTCCCACACTTAGAAGAAAGGCATGTTTTATGTAGCTTTAAGATGATTTTGTCTGGGCCGGCCCAGTGGCGCACTGCTACAGTGCGCTGCTTGGGAGCGCGGTGGCGCTCCCGCCGAGGGTTC